AATGCATGCATTGTATTCCCCAGAAGTTAACTTTATATATAGTACTTTCACTGGCATACCATATATGTATGAAATGCATGCATTGTATTCCCCAGAAGTTAACTTTATATATAGTACTTTCACTGGCATACCATATATGTATGAAATGCATGCATTGTATTCCCCAGAAGTTAACTTTATATATAGTACTTTCACTGGCATACCATATATGTATGAAATGCATGCATTGTATTCCCCAGAAGTTAACATTTTCTTAGATCAAAAATGTATTTCCCATAATACTTATCTTCACTCACACTACAGCCATCACTCGACTGATAGGCTTTCCTTTCCTTTGTCAACCTATGCATTGGTCTGATTTCTTCTCACTTGCTTCAGTCTTTTGTACCCCACTTAATTGCACTTGCCGATATCTGTCTTGTGACACTCTCCATCTATGTCAATGAGCTCTATATCTTGGTACTGTATATAAGCACCTGTTTCAGATAATATTGTCACTTTTTCAAGGCTGACCCAATCTGCAGTCTCTAATACCAGCTCTTAGTGGGGAGGAAGGGCAGGAGTGTGATGGGAGGTAAGTATTATTGGAAATACATCTTCAATTTAAGAAAATGTTAACTTCTAAAACATACTTACCTCCTACACTACAACTAGAATCCAACATTGATAGGGTGGAGAGGCTGATGAGGGCATTATCCATATAAAATGCATTTGCAGAGATTGTGCTCATGCCAACAGAAGTGTAGAACCCTTGTGGGAGAACTACACTACATCCAGAACAGATATGCTCTTCACCCAGAAAATAAATCATGCACTACAGGTGGAATATGATGTGATCCGTCTTCACCTGGCCAGGCCCCAACCAGATAGCCAAGGTCCCACTGCTTGGGGTTGGAATTATAGGACCATAGTCCCTAAATCCCACATTGGTGGCTAGGGCATTTGGACTGCAGTAGACATATTCATGATTGGATCCCAACCTGTAGCTATAGAATGATGCATTCTGAGCCACCAGAATCACAATGAAAAGGCAAGCAACACTGAAGTGGACAAACCCTCTCCTCAATCTGAAGCCCAAACTCAGAATAATAGGATCCTGCATCCCATACTCAACCTGAGAAAACAGAACTTATCCTGTCTGGAATTATGAACAATTATCTTCACTCCCTAATCGTGTAAGCAAGGTAAATTCTACTTGCTCCCGGAATTATGGGAAGGATGTGGAACAAATGGTGCTCAACCAAGGACCCAGTATGCGACCACTCTGCATTCGGAATTACAAGGAGAAGAGAACGGACCCTCTTCCTTGAACAATGTACTGAAGGCCCACACTAAACCAAACCAGATAGCTAAGTGTCAAACCCAAACCAGTATTATGAGTAGGCTCCTGCATAGGCTGTTGTTGCTCCTCCGACATCTGGGGAAAATAACATCCATATACCCGGGTAAGAGGGCCCGCAACTTTACCCTCTTCTCCAAAAGTGAAGAAAAGTCACTCAAACACTCTTTAGGAATAAACTCCTAGCTCTACTAGTAGAATACAGAGGGAGGGGCATAATACATATTGGAGAGTCCTGAAGAACAATGCTCTGGAAACAGTGCAATAGGTGAACCAAGTTCCCTAAATTTTTAGAAGCAAACTGACCCTGATTTTTGCAATCCACTGATTGACAGGGATGGGCAGGACCTCCTTATGTTTCATTCATGATAGTCCATGAGTGACAGTCCAGCATAGTACATTAATACCACCTGGTCTGCCTCTAGGTGGTCTTATGGAACACCTTATTTCTACAGAGCTTGTTGCAACCTAAAGTATATTGTGTTAGTGGTTTCTAGTGCAGATTTGGTTTGATAAAAGCACACCTGACTGGGCAACACTTGTCGCAGAGTGGTATCCTGTGAATAAGAGGTAGTGGACCCTGGAAAGAAGAGACGAGAGTAGTAATGAAAATACTTACTCCTCTTTATAATCTAGCAGATGTGGTTAATATAGCTACAAGGGGTAGTTGAAAACTCTAAGAGGAAGATACTGCCAGATCCTGCAAATAATGTGAGATAAAAGTATTGGGGGAGATCCACATACCAGCCCACACAATTTCCCCTAAAAGGCAAGTCAATCAGTCCACTAAAGATATATAAATGTGACAAATCTGATGAGACATGACTTGCAGAAGTTGCCTCGCTTCCAAAGAGAGCCCAGAATAAGCAATATGGATCAATTTTCGTACCCACCCCATCAAGATAACCAGAGATAAATCCTGGAAACTAATGGGTCACAATTAATAAAATGCTATTGTCTAGCACCTCTAAAAGCTTTAGTGTGGGGAACATAACACTTCAAGGCCCGCACTGGACATAACAAATGATCAGGATCCAATCAGTCATTGAAGTGAAAAATAGTGGTCAGATGAATGGGTGGAAAGGATATATCCCCTTCTCTGGCTCCCAATGGCTTCAGTAAGAAGGACCTGACTGGGTATAGAAAAACATAAGTAGAATAGTAAAGCATCCTTTGCATGTGCAGCACAAACAACACTGACTGGTGATGTCTGCAGGCCAGCAGTTACTAAAAAATAAACCTTAAAGGAAAGATGATACATGGTACATAAGGTTAGGGCTCAAATGGATGTCGAGAAAGAGCATGTAACACCACCTTTATATCCAAGTTAGGTAACTGAAATGGTCATTTGGGATGAAGACCTGAAACAACTTGAGGAGACCGGAGAGCACTGGGGACTCAAAAAATGTCTGTCTTTTTGAGTATTGAAAGGTAGCTAGGCAATTGTGGAAGATGTGAAACTCTTGTAAAATAGCCAAGTCAAAAACCAAGCTATGGTTGGCACAACTGGATGAAGTAGGTTCAACCTTCTCGCAATACACCATTGACAATATGTGTGCCATTTACTTTGATAAATGTTCATCATGAGATGATGCAGAGACTGAGATAGGTACATGACATCCTTAGAAGTTAAACCACAATGCTGTGCAAAGGACCACATAACCTTCATGCATGAAGCTTGAGTTTCAGGATGGATGGGTGTAAAATGTCAGATTTTGGCTGCCTCAAGAAACAAATAGGAAGTGGAAGAGATGGGAACTCCTGAAGGTACCACAAAAGTGGAAACCAGGATTGAGCTGGCCAATCCGGTGCTACGAACAGAACACAACAAGGAGTTGAACAAATTATTGCTAAGACTATGGATAACAGACAAATTGGTGGGTAGGCATATAGGTGCAGTCCAGTACTGACTGAATGCATCTATTGCTAATGCCTGAGGGTGAGGTACCAGAGACCAAAATGCTGGTAGTTGGGTATTCCAATGAGTGGCAAATGCATTGGTCATTAGTGTTATGAACTGAGAGTAAACAATACCATGAATGAACATCTTCACTAATGTGTTTGTGATTTGATGACATGAGACTCTGAAATGAAACAAAACTCATCAAACTAAAATAATTATCTCGCATCTACTACTGTAAACTCTACACAGTAAACCATGGGCTACTTTGTCAATTTCTCCTTGACCCAACTTCCTGATACGTTATCAAGTGAAAAATAGGCTCAGCACCAGCAGATTCATGCAATACAGATTTCACCCGAAAATGTAGCTACATCAAAATTCAACAATTTTGTGGATTACTTTCCTTTATGAAGCATTTAACCTGTCAGGAGAACCTGGCTGGGTCAAGACAATTGATCTGCCATCAAATTCATTAACCCCAGAGCATGGCAAACTAGTAGGATGATATGATGGGCATGGGCCCAATAGAGAAGATCCAAAGTTCAAACACAAAAAACCTAGATAGAGTGCCCCTTTGGCATGAAATCTAACACACTACCACAGAATTGTCTGAATGAAGCATGAAGACTTTGCCATTTAATTATTCCAGACCTTGAGACATTGCCCTTTGAACAAGGTTCTAAAACATTGAAATGAAGGGAAGCCTCATCATCTGTTCATAGTTTCCTGTAATTCTTGACCATTGAAATATGCACCTTATCCCTGAAGTGATGCATTTGTGAAAAGATGGACCTCTGGAGAAGGTGGTGGCAGAGGAATACCTAATGTGGTATTGTTTCAATCTAACCAACACTCGAGATAGAAGATGTTGATCCTGAATAAGAAGACTGGGGAATCCAGTGGATTGCTATTCATGATCCATTGATCGTGTAGAAACCACTAAAGTGATCTCATGTGCACTTGTCCCAAAGAAAGGATTTGTGTGCTGCCCACATCCCAAAAAGAGAAACAATCCTCCATACAGTGGAGAAGGAGATGTGAGTGAGAGTCGGACTGCCTGTTCCAGAGTGTGGAGCCGGAAGAAAGTCGGCTGAGCTCAGCTGAGATACATGTTGAAAAAGACACCAAGATGGACAATATATTGTGTTGGAGTGAGAACAGATTTCTTGGGTCTGATAACAAATCTTGCCTTCGTTGTTTTGGAAAGCAGTACCTGGGTGTAATGTTCTGCCAACTGAGGAGTAATAGCCAGTTGTTCATGTAATGGCACGTGCACAGGCTCAGAGAATGGAGGTGACAACAAAAAGTTCATACAATTTGGCAGAACACATATGGTGCCAATGCTTGTCCGAAGGGCAGAGTCCTGAACTGCAGCACCTGACCCTTGTGCACAAAATGAAGATAGTAGCATGATGACTCTGCTATGGGAACATACAGATAGGTGTCAGTAACATCAAATTGGTCATTCACAGTTGTGATAAAAAATGCCAGTGCAAAGTGAGGAATGACTCCATCATGAACTTTGGAGGATTTAGGAATTGATTTAGATGAGAAAAATCAATGACCAGATGCCATTCTCCTGTCATCTTTGTCATAACAAACAGACAGCAATAAAACCTTGGAAGAACTGGAATGACTCTCTCCATTGCCCCCTTGACCAACAAATCTCTGTTAGCCATGGAACAAAGTTCCAAAATCTGAGGATTTGTGGGAGTGGAAACCCCACAGGTTGGGGAAATAATGGTGGTGGTGATGTGAACTGAATGACTAATCCTGATGCAAGAAGCTATAGTACCCATGGATCTATGGTAAAGGTTTTCCACACATCCAGAAATTCTCGGAGCCAAGCCCCCACAGACCCCGAAGGCATATGGTAGTCACCACCACCACTGGTGGCATTTTGACCGAGCAGAAGAACCTCAAGGATATGGGTGGAATCTAATCTGGGTACCAACGGACCAAGGGGCTGATATGAGGGGTCAGAACACTCAAATAATGATTGAACTATGACCGCCTGTACGAGCCAAGTAAAGTCGAGAAGCCAACGACGACACGGATGAATGCAGATAGATGACATCAATCCTTGATTCCAAGAGCTCTGGAATGACCACAAAAATCAATGGTTGGAGAAACAGGGCCTCACATAACTCACAGAGGGTGGCAGCAAGTAAATGAAAGCCCTCCAACAATACATCTTTACCCAACAAATCTAAACAGCATACCAGCCAAGAGAATAGGGAAAGTGCAGATGCTAACAATGGTTCAAATTCGCCATCTAATTGATGAGGCGATCACTGAGAAGCTTCCAAAAAAAATGCAAGGATGATAAATATCTCAGCACTACAGTTAGGGTCAGCCAAGTCCTAGAAAATTGTGATTTATACAGGTGAACCGCTGGTGCAAATCTATTCTCTGAAAGTCTAAATATGCTTCCACCTGCCAATGGTAGGGTAAAGCATGTTGTTGTGACAAACATGGTGGACAAGGCATAGTTATCCCTTCACGTATCTGAGCAGTAATCCTCCATGCATGAACTGCAATATCAGGGGATGGAGAGAGATCTAAGCACTCACCCTCAGACCTTTCTACCATCAAGGAAGGCGTAGACTCAAAAGCAACTGGGGAAAGACTCATAACATCACACACTCAATTTGGCCTCATGAGAAGCCAACAGAATAAAGGATGGCATTGGAAAAAAGGAATCTAAATTCTCTCCAGAATGTCCATGATCTTTTTCAAGTGCAGCCTCAGAGCCCCCCCAGAGAGACACCGCCAGACTGAATATATGTCTCTATCTCACTAAGGATAAGATCATGAATAGGCTCAACCAAGAGTGACTCCTCTCTTGATTCTTGAGCAATGCTAGATATCAGAGGTGAGATAGAAGAGACCTGATTTGAATCCGTGCTGAATACATTAATCCAGGAATTAATGTCATATATCAGCTTGTCAAACAAATTTTTTTTATGTACAAAAATTAAATGGTTAACACAAAGAACACTCAAAGTATCTTCAACAGTCATACTACAGAGAAACCCGTTAGTGAACACTTTGTCGAGAAAAGTGACAATATTATCTGAAGTAGGTGCTCATATACAGCACCAAGATATAGAGTGCAATGATGTAGGTGGAGAGTGTCATGAGACAGATATCACCAAGGGCAATTAAGTGGGGTATAAAAGACTGGAGCATGTGAGAAGAGACCAGATCAATGCTTAGATGGGCAAAGGAAAGGAAACCCTAGCAGTTGAGTAATAGCTGTAATGTGAATGGAGGCAAGTATGTCTTGTAATTCAAATTTTTTTTAGTATACAAAATATTTATGAATATAAAACATACAAAAGCCTGCATGTAATTAATCTGGTCATGTTCGCTCTCTTTTTGTTTGTCAATTCATGGAGTGCTCCAAGTTGTATCATGTTGCCTAGGCAATGTGATACTGTTTGCAGCTGACCTCTTAATCAGACATGCATTGAAAAAGTAGCTAAATAATGTAACTATAAAGTGAATCAATTTGCCTGTCATGAGACATTAGTATTAAGCCTTTTATATTTTTTAGCTGTGTTATTGTTGTTACAAAAGTGAATCATTCATGATGGAACACTTGCCATTAAAAACAGCCATTAAACTGTAATTGACTGGCTGCACACCTCATGTTATGTCATCATGTCAACCAAACCAACTCTTATTCATATATGGTACAAAACATTTGAGGAATTACACAGCTAACAACAAAGTGTAGTTTTTTCATCTGGTTAAACGTTTTCCAAGCAAAATTATTGACTTTCCAAAATAAAATACTTAAAGACGAAAAGGGGAAATTTTTGAAGAATTATATTGGTATGTATAAAGGTTTTCATTTCATGTACATTTGAAAACTTACAAAGCAAAGTGCATCACAGAATACAATAATATAAAGTGCACACTAGAAGAAAATGTATTTATCTGTCATCTAAAAAGTTGTTACACGTCTTGCTAAAAAAAGTCATGGCATACCACTGAGTTCTGTAATATAAATATTTGTTCATAATTTTTATGATCACATTTTTCAAATTTAATCAATAGATATAATCTTTTTTGATTTATAATAATAGTTTATGACTGTATAGATAAACATTAGGATAAGAATTTACTAGAAGGTTTGAATGAAGATACTGTGATAATTTCTAAAACAAAATATTTCTTAAACTTTAAATTGTTAACAAAATTTTATATCACATGTTGCTGAAAAATTAGTTATTTGATAACCTGTAAGAAAGGTAGTTTTGTTAGAAAGTTCACAGTTTAGTATGTAAGTTACTGTTCAGACAGTAGTAACATTTAAGTACAGTATTAAAGCCATAGTTATATATATATATATATACACACACACACATATGCACACACACACATATGCACACACTTTATTAATCATTAATCAGGCTACTTTTTGTAATAGATTATAAGGTTGTGATACATGAGTACATGTCAAACTTCATCAGAATGTTGTGTTGAATGTTAAAGTTGAAGTAAGTATGGTAGAATACTGAGTGTCTTAATAAACATCATGTTTTCTTTTTCTTAAAAGGTGTGTGAGTGGTCTGTCCATATCAAACAATCCACTAGATAGTCTGTTATACAACACTCCTTTTATTTATTTAATATTATGCAACCTTTTTTTCTGGTATCCAGGAATTAGCTGCTTAACTAGCCTATAAGTCAAAATTAACCAGTATGTTGTTAAATTTATTAATCCCATTCTATCGATGTATCATTATTAGGTTTAATCATAAGAAGCTTATGCTCTGTTTCTGAACTGAATAAACGAAATGTCAAATGATGATGATTTAATAATTGTTATTTATTTTATTAATAAATTATTCATATATGTAACAAAAATTTACATCAACTAATAAATCTTACCTACTGTGTTTTCTTTTTACTTAACAGAGTTTATTTTCCAAAGATGACAATTGTTAATTAATTTTAAAATTGCTGAAAGCTACTTCTAATTAATGTATTACACTCACATACCGAAATATTATGACATTTTACCTATTGCTTTTTTTTACATTCAGCAAATAGTCTTCTTGAATTTCATGGATCATCCTAGACATTAATCTTTCTGTACCTAGCTGACACAGGAAGAAACAATGCAAAAAATATTATTTGGAAAGCATGAAATAAACAAGGTAAAATGTCAAATTTATTACTCAACAGTGGTTAATTCAAAATATGTTTAACAAATGTTCACATCCAAAACGAGGTACAATTTAATTCTACTCCATAGTTCAATGATAATTTAAATTTCAACAGGAAAGTGTTTTTCCTGAAAACTTAAAAAGTAAAATAAAGCATTTTTGTTTTCAAGAGTGATCTGTTCCTGTATACAGTATTTATTTAATTTCTTTTCAGAAGTGCAGTTTACTTTGCTTTCATAACATTTCTATTTTTTAAAGGTACCCTTCATTCAAACATAATGTAATTATTTGTTTTCTAGCATTCTGAATGTTTATACTTAGTAGAAAAACAAACTATTTAGTTTACCTTCAAAGAAGGAGATACCCAACTCATAATATGTTCCAGCCACACCTTTTGCATTGGAGACACATGTTCAGTGTCTATTCCTTGATGGATGTAATAGTAATATCTCTGAAGGGAAAATATCCATATTATAAATCACAATCTATTCCTTGACAGATGTAACTTAAAATATCTCTAAAAACAATCTTATACCATTAATCATAAGCTATTTCTGGATATATATCTGGAGCAGACTGTAATAGTTGCATTTCATTTTTATTAATCAACCATTAATATTTTCCTGAGAAAACACTTTATCAACTTATTCTCATTTTATTTATTGCTGGATGTAATGGTAAAATCTCCACAGAAATAATAAAAATCCAATCATAGAGTAAACGCTTGAAAAATTAATCAGATATTACAGTTCTACTAGCATTCAATCACTGATTACTTATGAAACAGCTGTTTCCTTGCAGAAGCATGAAAAATATTCTGAATAAAAATTAGCCCATCAACGATGTCCCTTCCAGCTCCCAAATATAACCACCCCTTACTACTCATGTATTCACCCAATCTTTTCTTGAACCCAGTTAAATTTTCTGCATCTACCACCCTTGAAGGTAGCTCATTCCAAAAGCCAACCACCCTTTTTGAAAAGTAATACTGTCTAAACTGCAGATGACTCCTACACTGCCAAAATTTTAATTCATGACCCCTTGTCCTATTGTTTTTACTGCTAAACACAAAAACGTTTGATGGATCTATATTATCAATACCCTTAATAATTTTAAACATCTCAGTCAAATCCCCTCTGACCCTTCTCCTCTCCAGAGAAAACAAGTTTATAGATTTTACTCTCTCCTCGTATGACAATACCAATATCCCAGGTATCATCCTAGTGGCTCT